TATTTATGTTTCTCTTAACTATCTTTCCCAATGTCATAGCATCACTCCTGTAGTCCAGCTTCAAATTCAGGAGCTTGTCCTCATTCCTTGAGAACCCAAAGACAAGGCTCAGAAATCCACCAGGAGTTGAGTGTTGATGGCTCACACCTGTAATCCTAGCTACTCAGGAGGCTGAGATCTGAGAATATGAGAAAAGAAGAAGAGAAATCCTTTAGGACCCTGTCCATCCTTAACTGTAATGTCTCTGGGAAGTTTCCACTAGCAATTGGAGACATGCTCTAGTAATTGGCTCTAATTTTTTTTTTGAGTCTGATTGTGGGGCCTGAACTCTGGGCCTGGGCACTGACCCTCAGCTCTTCAGCTCAAGGCTAGCGCTCTACCACTTGAGCCACAGTGCCACTTCCGGCTTTTTTCTTTTTGCTTCTGTGGTGCTGAAGAATCGAACCCAGGGCCTCATGCATGCAAGGCAAGTGTGCTACCACTAAGCCACCTTCCTAGCCCCATCTAAATCTTTTGAGTTAAATCACTGGGCATACATGTGAGAAGGCGGTATTGAGGCAATATAGTATACCCAGCTTCCTCTTTTCTTTCTTTTTTTAAAAAATAAATTGATAGTTTTATTAAGACAAAAACTGACAGTATGGTATGAAGTGTACTTAAAAATTTCACAGATGTCTAACACATGCCAAAAAAGATTTTACAATGTAGATGTAGGTCTTTGTGTGTGTGTGTGTGTGTGTGTGTGTGTGTGTGTGTGTGTGTGTCCAGTCGTGGGGCCTGAACTCAGCCTTGCTGCTGTCCCTCAGCTCTTCAGCTCAAGGCTAGCGCTCTGCCACTTGAGCCACAGTGCCACTTCCAGCTTTTTGCTTATGTGGTACTGAGGAATCGAACCCAGGGCCTCAGGCATGCAAGGCAAGCACTCTACCACTGAGCCACCTTCCCAGCCCTGGATGTAGGTCTTAATGTCAAGAATCCATAGAGCAATTTTAGCCGGACATGGTGGAATATGCCTATAATCCCAGCATTTGGAAGGCTGAGGCAGGAGGATTGAGAGTTCAAGGCCAGCCTAAGCTATATATCAAGACCTTGTCTCAGGGGAAAAAAACAAAAAACAAAAAAAAAGACAAAGGGATACTTTTGGGTAACTGTTAAATCTTACGATTGTTTTGTTCTTTTTTATTTTTATACCTTTTGAGGAAAGCATTGCCTTAGTATGAAAGGTTAATCTCCTGAGATCAGAGCTTTTAGAATAATTAACCCTTGGAGTGACTCAATGAAATTTGTGCTGGGACTGAACTTGACACTAATGGTCTCAGAGTTCAAAGATCAAAAAAACAGATCACAAGGCTTTACTGTAAGAGCATGAGGCTCTTCTATCTCCTACACTCCCTCAGCCCTCCCCGAACAATTCAAGCCAGTGGCTTAAGTGGTCAAATTGAAAACATAATTGGAAGAAGAAAAAAGAAGAAGAAGAGGGATCCTTTTCTAATTTCAAGATTTAGCACCTCAAAGAAGACAGAATGGTCTGCCTATGTATACTCTCCAATAAAGGATTCCCCTCCTCAATTTGTTGCCTTCTCCCGAATGTAATTTAGGAACTGGCTTAGCCTCATAGGCAGCATGAAGCTGAGTCAGGGAACATCTCATTTACAGCTTTTCAGCAGTCTCTACACAGTCCCTACTTATGGTGCTTATGTTATTCTTTTTGAAAAGGTAAAATATTCTTTTTTTGGGGGGGTCCGGTCATGGGGCCTGAACTCTGGGCCTGGGTGCTGTCCCTCAGCTCTTCAGCTCAAGGCTAGGGCTCTACCACTTGAGCCACAGCACCACTTCCGGCTTTTTTCTTTTTGCTTATGTGTTGCTGAGGAATTGAACCCAGGGCCTCTGGCATGCAAGGCAAGCACTCTACCACTGAGCCACCTTCCCAGCCCCCTGAAAAGGTAAAATATTCTGAACATGGAACTAAATCATTAGGTGTTCTTCTTTCCATTGTTTCACTGGTTCCCCAATCAAGCCCCAAATTTAAATCAAAATGATCCTATCTTCACCTCCCTTCCTCCCAGCCCACCCCTCCCAATCCCAAATAATACACCAGTAATAGCCAAAACAGCACACATGCTACGCTGTAAAAATGCAGTTAACGCTATTGGGAAGAAGGCTGTGGGTTGTGGAGATGCTCTTCGAAGATCAACAGGATCTTTTTGCTCTCCCACACACCCACTTCTGCAAGTTCTGTCCTTCCTAGAAGGCCCTTTGCCGTTCTCAGCAAAATGCAGAGTGGGTTGCCTTGAAACACTTAACCCTTCCCCCTCCACTGGGATGGGTGTGCAAACTATATAGTGTGGAACGGCTTTAAAGCACTTGCACTGCTGCAGGGCATAGAAACAATACTGGCTCTTCAAAGGACATCTTCTCAAACCACCTTATGGTGTCAAGACAAGGAGAACTCCTTCCTCCCCATTTCAAGCCCACAGTCAGAGATGACAGGGGCTGCTACTCTGGAGAGTTAATTCTTGTTGTCTTTTTTGTCGTCATCCTCTGAGGGGTAGGAATGCCACTTCAACCTTTCCCCATAGAAGGATATGACAACCTGTGGGCACTGGACATTAGCTTCCTTGGCAAGGACTAGATCAGCCTCATCAGAGTCTTTCCATTTCATCAGGAACATGAGCTCTCCGCTGGAGTCTGTAGCTCCAATAATCTGCTCCAGCTCCAAACCCCGGGCAAAGCCTTGAGGCTTTTCTGACTTTTCTTTCTTTCTTCTTAGGTTTGCTTTCCTCTCCCTTATCCTCAGAATCAGAATCAGCTTTACGCTTGCCTCCCTCTGATTTGTCTGTCTCACGTGCTGTTTTCTGTGACTGTAGAAACTCAGCAATGAGGTCGGGACAATCCAGGTTCTCTTCTGGCTCCCATGTATTATCCTCATCTGAGAAACCCTTCCACTTTAGAAGGTACTCTACGGTGCCCTTTACATAACTCGACGGTCAAGAACTTTTTCCACCACATATTCCTCTTCCTCCTCTTCTAGGACCTCCTCCACTTTCTTCTTGTTTTGCTTTTTTCCCATAGTGCCCTCCAGCTTTTTGGTGTAAAGAGTGTGATGCTGCTCAGAGCAGCGCCCACGAGTCAGAGAGAAATCGGTCGTACTGGATAGGCCGAGCAAGACTGGTGCCCAAGAAAGCAACACACCTGGTGTCCGCCGTCGACCCTGGCTCTGAAGAGGCATACTGCAGGCCCGGCTTACGGCCCTCCCCTCTGCCAAACAAACCAGCTTCCTCTTTTCTGTCTCTTCCCAGCTGCTCCAAGGTGAACAGTTGGTTCAACCACCTCATCTCCACTAGGAAAGGTGATCTTGCCTGAGGCCCCAAAATACTGAAGTCCACTGACCATGGACTAAAACTTCTGAAACTGATTCAAATGAATCTTTTCTTTCATACGCATTGCTTATTGTGGAAAGCTAATAAACACAATTAGATACTTTGGCCTAGACGTGGCATCTGACTGTCATTTCTGATTTCCCCTAACCCCTCTTTAAATCTTTGGAAGCCACAGTACCACTGTTGAAGCCTAGCCTGAAAGTTTATCCCCTATGAACCAAATACATACATGCCTTGGAAATCCAGGGGCATCCTGCTTTCTTGACTGCTGGCCAATGACAGTCTTTTTTTTTTTTTTTTGTCGGTCAGGGGCTTGAACTCTGGGCCTGGGCGTTGTTCTTCAGTTCAAGGTTAGCACTCTGCCACTTGAGCCACAGTGCCACTTCTGGTTTTCTGAGGGGTTTATTGGAGGTAAGAGTCTCACAGACTTTCCTGCCCAGGTTAGCTTTGAACCACAATCCTCAGAGCTCAGCCTCCTGAGTAGCTAGGATTATAGGCGTGAGCCACCTAGCCAATGACAGAGTCTTTACCAGCATTTGGGGAAGATGCTGAAGAAGCTGGCTCTGAGATGTGTGTCTTCTAACTTGGCTAGGCTGGACCCACCCAATTCTTTCAGGGCCTTTCCTAGTACTGAAGTCACATAGATGTGCGCATTTGCTTTGCTATTAAGTGATTTTTTTTTTTTTTGGTCCTGTTGTGGGCCTGAACTCTGGGCCTGGGCACTGTCCCTCAGCAATTCAGCTCAAGGCTAGCGCTCTACCACTTGAGTCACAGTGCCACTTTCGGCTTTTTTTCTTTTTTGCTTATGTGGTGCTGAGGAATCGAACCCAGGGTCTCAAGCATGCAAGGCAAGCGCTCTACCACTGAGCCACCTTCCCAGCCCCCTGATTTTTTTTTCTTTATGAAAACAATTTCCTATGTTCTGCTCCAAAGATTGGTTCAACACAGCCTGGGCATTTGATTTATGGTCTTCATATTGTAAAACTGGAAGAGCCAGAAATTCATCTACTTGCCAGGCACTGGTCATTTCTAGCTACGCAGGAGGTCGAGATCTGAGGATTAGGGTTCAAAGCCAGTCTGGGCAGGAAAGCCCACGAGACTCATGTCCACTTATCTGTCAAAAAAAAAAAAGCCAGAAATAAAGCTGTAGCTCAAATGGTAGAGTGCTAGCTTTGAGTAAAATAGCTCAGGGACAGTGCCCAGGCCCTGAGGTCAAGCCTCAGGACCAGTACAAAAACATAAAAGTTATCCACTCTTTATCAAACTGTACTAGGGGGACATTTGGCTCTGTCTTTAAAACTGAATTGCATGTGAGACTACAAAAGAAGTCTGCATTGACATCAGAAAGAGGTCCTTCTGCTACCTTTGCAATCATTTTATTTAAAAAGGCAGAACTTTAGAGATACTTTCAAAAAGTGAAAACTCCAAAGTCATCAGGGAAGATAATAATAACGAAAGGCTGCTTACAGCAGCAATGAAAGTCATAGTGATGTTTTACCGGAGGAAACACGGTCACTGGATTCTCATCACCACACCGATGGTCTTCAGTGGTTCAAAGGTAGATCCCACATGCTAGGGGATAGCCAGGCTGAAGACACAACTCAACTGGATACATGCCCTCAATCACTTATCAATGTTCATGGGCTCACACAGTGGGAAGCTGGCAGCAGAGGCAATCCCACAATGGTTGCTCCAGTCTCGGGCTATCTTTATGTAGCCATGCATGCCCCATTCTTCACCCCAGCTGAAAGAAGAGCATGTTTTCCACTTTAGAAAGAAAGAACAACACACATAGCCATCTAATCACTATCAGTAAAAGTATATGTTAGCTTTATAAGATACCAGAGTGATTAGTTGATCCCTGGGCAAGAGGCCATAGTTTGTAAAGAGTCAGAATAGACATGTTCTTGTTCAAATTGGCTACTTATTGAATCGGAACCTACGTGCTACTTTTATCTCTATCCCTAAACAATGACTATATACAAAACTGCACATTCAGAAAAAAGAAAAGAGAAACCTTTGTGGACAGGGATATTTTAGAATGAAGAAAAATTTAATCGAGCAAAGGTGGATTATGCCTGCAATCCTAGCTACTCAGGAGTTTAAGATCTGAGGATCATGGTTTGAAGACAGCCTGGAAAAGAAGAACGGGAGATTCTTTTCTCCAAGTAACCATATAAGTAGAAGTGTGGCATAAGTGCTAGAGTACCAGATTTGAGCAGCAAAAGCTAAGCAAAGGTCAGGAACCCTGAGGCCCTGGATCCAATCCTGAGTACCAGCACACATACAGCCCGCCCCCCCATGCACACGCATGCATGCATGCACACACACACATGCACACAACTATTGGGGCCAATAAATGGCATTGCTAAATTCGTGTGTGTGTGTGTGTGTGTGTGTGTGTGTGTGTGTGTGTGTGTGTGTGTG